TTTCTATTTTTAATCTTGCTTGTCTTGGCCTGCTCTCATTCTTGTATTATATGAGAAAGTATATGCCTTTCATTATTTTTAAATACCCATTTTCTTCATTTTTTTTTCATTTTTGTCCATCCTAGGAGCCATTTGTGCATTTATTTGTGCTTATGACCTTGTTTGAAAAACAAGGTTTTTCCAACCTTGTCTTTAATTCCAGAAAGTATCTTATAACAAAATAAGAAGCATAAGGACAGTGTAACTGCTAAAAAAAAAAAGAAGAAGACAAGAAATACTTAGGTCTTACCTGGATTGTATAGAGAAGCAGCTTTTATATGATACACGGTTAGTTCATTAAATTATGTCACTTGAAGTGAAAGGCATTTCTAACTGGTTCCTGTTACTTTCACATTGGACCATCATAGTTTGTTTAGTCTGGTTACTGTACCATATTGTTATGGATGTATGGCCTAAGCAGGATACCCAGGGGATCTCTTCTACTCTAAATTTCTTTAAGTAGGACTTTTCATTTTGGCATCCTAATGCAATGCCTATTAAAATAGAAAAGATCATTAGCAGAGAGAGGCTGCTGAGTGAGATCTGTGAATGAAGTAAGAAGTCAACGTGCCAAATGGGTTTGAAAATGTGGCAAGCAGCAGAGGAAGACAAAAATCTATTGATACCCTCTTTTTCTCAACCTGCGTGTATGCTTGTGAATGCATGTTTGCTAGGTAATGATTTGCCACTTTTTCAACATGTCTATTTCAAGATTCATATGTTTTACTACATGTAGTCCTATATTTTCTTCGTCCAGATGATAGACAATGATAGGCAACCCATGCACCTTCCTTGTCTCACCACAGAGATGTGATAAAAGGACTACTGTCAGGGCAGCAGTTGAAAAGACATCGTTGGGAATGTGAGAAAGAACCCTGAATATTGCAGTATAAATGGAACACATGGAGGCGGTTCTAATTTGCAGTACACAAGGAATATGGACAGCTTTATCTTGAGGACACGTTAATATTGATTTGAAGGAGAAAAATAAGTACCCATTATAGTGTTATTACTCTAGAGTCTGGAGTTAAAATATTGCATAAAAGCTTTGCTTGGACACAGTGACAATATTTCTATTCTCTGCAATTGCTTTGTTTATGGAATAGGCCATGTTTGTTTGGGTTCACACAAATGAAGTCATTTCCCTACTTGTGACTTAAAACCACTCTTGTGCCAAAATCTGAGTAATAAGAATAGGCTTTATATTGCTTCAACAATGGCTGGGTGATGCTATAAAAACACTGTAAATCATTAGTGAGGAAATGGCCTGAGCCAAACATAGGCTTGTTTGGTTTTCATTAGCAGGTCTATCTGGGCCCACAGCATGCAGGCAGTCTTTAGAAACTCCCTTGGTAGTTTGACATGGGTGCTCACAGTGTTGCGAGTGTCCTCTTGGATCTTCTTCACCACCACCGAAACTGTGCCCCCCCCCCCGCTGCATGCTTGCTTCTTGATTGTGCTGAGAAAGACGGCATGCAAAGATTACTCCTGAGATACATTCTCATCACAAGTGTGCTTCCAGCAATATTGTGCTAGAGAGTACACAAGGAGAATATATACTTTCTTCCCAGAACAGTTGAGGTTGCAATGGTGCACGTGGAGGGAATTTGGAGATGACATGGGGAGGAAGGAAATTCCAGGGCATAGTTGTGCCAGCATGATTACTCATGGCAGGCCATATGGGAAGCTTCTGGGAATCTTAAAGGTAAATAATAAAGAACCATCACCTTAAATTAGTTCTGTAAAATGTATGGAAGCTAACATACTGGATTTGTTGAAGCACAACTGAATGAAGTTGTGTAATCAGTCACACTGATATTTTTGTAATTTCATGTCTCACATTGTTTTGCATGCTGGGCTCCTTCAACAAATGGAAAGTCTAGCTATTTGTAAGGTAGAATGCACACAGTAATAACTTTCCTTTGCAGTAACAGTTGAAGTTGGCAGGATTTCTATGGCCTGGCATTTGGCCAAAGGTCAAAATGAGTGTTAGAAGAACGGCTGCTGCTGTGAGCCTTTCCCTTCTCTTCCTTATAACAAGGTGTGGCGTGCTATCCTTACCCAATGCTTTTGCCCTGTCCCTACTCCACCGCAAATTATGTTAAGTGGGGATCAGGAGGCGTGCAATACAGTGACATCACACCACATTGTTTGAGTTTTTAATTTCCTCATAAAAAGTGAGAAAAACAGAGATGAGATGCAAAATAATGAGCCACTCCCGGCGTCTTTTAAGAAACAGTTTGGCCCTACAATATCAAACCAGTGCCTGCAAAACAACAACCTCAGCCAAGTTGTAATTACTACACGTAGCATGTAGGTCAGGTTTCCAACTTATTTGGCTAAGAAATCATTTCCTACATATCTGGTAAGGAAACAGTGGCTGATCTGCATTAGGATTATGGCAAACTGTGGATGACAGCACATCTTAAAAAAGAAAATTGCAGATCATAGATCCCTGCAAATCAAATTTAAGCTTGCAAAATTGCATCTCTTCCGAGGGTTTAAATGGGATTACCTATATTTAAATACTAGAGAAAAAGCACTGAAATATGCTTTTCAGGCAGGCATAATTCTTGCTGAACAGTATGTTCAAAATCCCTCCCTAGCCCATACCTATACCTGTGCTAATTGTTGATTTAATGAAAATCAACAATTTTCAGATTTTGAGTGTGTGGGTGGGTGGATATGTGGAATTTATCTTCTTTCTGAATCCCAAGGTGAGATTTCAATGAAATCACAAAATTATAACCAAAATCAAAACCAAACAACGTAAACCCCACAACTCTCAAACCTAATCCTTAAAGAAATCATTATTAAAGTGAGTTACCTAGAAAATTCAGCAAAACATCCCCCCCCCCCCAAATTGCTGGTATATAACCCAACTAAACGGTTATTTCTTCTTTAAGGTTTTTAATGCTTGGAACAACATGATCTTACAAACAGTGCCACTGTTAACTTGGAGGTGCCCTGAAGCCCATCTTGCAATACATGAAGTTGCACAGAGGCAGGTTTGGGGACAAGAAAGTGAAAGCTCTGCATTTAAGATTTATGTTTGGCGCTTCTAGTTTGCTATGTGATTTCTCACTTGTAAATTACAAGTGCCTTGAAATGTGATATGTACAGTCTTGTCAAAATTACATTGCTCATGTTGGAAAACCACCCCATTCTGCACACCTATTTTTGATGGGTGTGAAAGAAATGAGTAAGATCCTCTGGATGATCATTCTGATGGGGGGAAGAAATCTAATAACACCATGAGATTTAAATGTATTTGTACAAACATGACCAGGAATGTTTTTAATCTTGAAGACTTCATCTAGAGTTGTAGGCATACAAACTGTCCCAGTAGGAACAGATGCTCTATGGATCTCTTTAGGGCCAGGCAGCTTTTAATAGGAGACTCTAATCCTGTGTCTGCTTAAGAATGAAAAAAAAACATTGCTGGATCTGGGAAGACTCACAAGCGGGGCGGGAATACAAATAGTTTTCTCACTGTTGCTTTATCCTGAAGGTAGCCATTGTGATGAGTTGTATCTTCTACCATTTCTTCTGTTAGAGCTACCCACTGCCTTTTCTTGTAGTACACAGTGCTACCATATCTAGACTGCAAAAATCTGTCTAATGGCAGCAAAGAATTAGATTGGTCTCTCTTTGCTGCAATCCAGTGGTATTCTGGATTTTTTGCAGCCCAAGTAATATCAGAATTCTGGATTTGTTTTGTTTGAACTAATTTGGATTCATGGTTAGCTTTTTCAACTAGGGCCAGCTTGGTGCTTGATCACACAACTCACCTTAGACTAATCAGTTTTTCATCCTAACTAACATTATTAGGTGGAAGGCCTTTCCCAATGAAAGTGTTTTGCTCAGTTATTCTTTTTCCCATCCTAATAGACTTCCAAATAAAAAAATTTAAAAAGATAAAAAATAAGTCTTTCAAAAGCTAACCTGCTTTCTTCTGCAAAAAAACATTTGTTAAGGAACTTTGGGGAAAAGTACAGACACTATTTATTTATTTATTTGATTTGTTAAGGCTGCCAAGCCCTGGAAATAAGTATCAACATCCTTCAGGATATACATGTGTTCCTCCCCATATTCATACTTATCTAGCCTTTCCTCTTTATCTAGTTTCTAATTTCTTTTAGCAAGCCTTTCAGTGTATGCTGCTGTTTTACAAAGATTTGGTAGAACCTGTTTCTAATACAGTGATCTGTAAAAATCTAATCATTAATCCTGTTTGAGTGGTGGAGGGAGAACTGTCTTACCTAAATCCAGATGAAATTACAAGAGTTTGCTTGATCATAGTCTATACAAGATTTAAAAAATGCTGTCAAGGAAACTGAAGGTTTTATATTCTGCATTAAAAACAAAAACAAAACATTCAGTATAATTATTCTAGATCAATAAGGCAAGAAATCATTCCAAAACTAATTTTTTCTTAAATGGTAACTTTTATCTGTGCTAAAACCCACCTGCTTTATAGTCTGATTTTGTGACTTTACTTGAAATTATCCTGTTTAGTGAATGTTGAAATTATCCTTTCAAGAGCAACTGTTCTTAGGATCTTCTGAGCTTTTCAGTTTTCCAGGGAGAGGGAATTATGACTGAGATGCATTTTTGCTGCAGGACTTTCATCAATTCTGAAAGGGCGTAAGACTTTTTGAACTCAAAAGGTTTCAAATGTTCCAAGCTCAAAATAAAATTTATATTCTGGGAGTTGTTTTGAAATTGGAACAGTTTTGTTTGGACTTCGGTATAAACCTTTGTTGTTTCAAATGGTGGCAATTCTATGCTCCAGTCATAGAATACAATGGGATGCTTCAAGTGTTCCAGTTTCTAAAAATGTTTTAAGAATTTCCTTTAAAGTTTGAAACAAAACACTTGGAGTGGTTTTGAGTTTTGTTTTGAAAGAACAGAACTCTCTTATTCAGTTTAAAACAAAACAGGTTTCCAGTTTCATGCTCTCTAATTTTAATGGAGGGATCCACAATTTTTGGTTTGGTCTACTAGACCTCCATTTATTGCTTCTGAGCAGGCTCATTAATCACCCTTATTTTTAGTGGTCTCGGATCTGACTTTGCTCTTCCCACAAAACCTGTGTTTTTGGAATGTAATGCATGTTAGTCTGAGTTTTTTCATTATGCTACTTTTTATAACAGATAATAGAAAAGATGTGTGACTGATTTTGGTGTGCTCTAAAGCCCACCATGGGAACTCACCCTCACAACCAAAATTATGGGGAAGATGTCACAATGAAGAAATAGCTCTCTAGAATTGGGGGAGTTTTTTCTTCTCATGTGGAACTGAGCAAGAGCATTTGCTTATGGCAAAGCAACCCTGTGCAAGCTTTCCTGGAAGGAAGTTAAGTTCTGAATGCTCTGGGACTTTGCCTGAACAAAACTATATAGCATGAAAGATACGTTTTGCTTGGAACTATGTCTGTAATTTTAAAGAAATAACTTTTTTGTTAAGATCTCACTAAGCTACTTAGTGGACAGCTGACATTTTTATTTAAAAAATTTCAAGTAAGTAGCTGTACACATCTTGGTAAAACTATTAGGTTAAATGCACTTGTATTTGTTAGAAATGAATGACATCAATAAATAAATGATTGATGCTGTCAATAACTTTATGGAGTGTATAAAATTATATTTCCCTTGATCTAAACAATAACAAAAATGTACTTGTGGCATGAATATATACAACACAGGTCCTGACATATATTTAAATTACCTTAGCCAGCAGTGCTCAGTTCAATTTTTTTAAATGGAGAAAATATAATAAATAAAAATGTTAAATATTTACAATAAAAGAATATGTGGAATCAGTAGGTGAACACATATATCCAATTTTCACACACAGAGATAAAAAGGAACAAAATTAGGCTTATATGACCTGTTTACCCCTCCCCAAATTCTTAATGTTACTTGTGAGTGAAACAAATATTAACATCCCTAGATCACTGAAGATAAATTATATGCACACTGAGATAATCTGCTGACAGAGACATTCAATGGTACATACATGTTTTGATTCCCATAGATAAAAAAGACTTCGCATAGACTGAAGTCTAGAAGTTGGGAATCATACTGGAAGGTCTTTGGGCTTTTTAACCTCTGTGTGATGATTTATTCTGAAGTGGTCATGATTGTCCCTCTATCAGTTCATTTTTTAAAAAGGGGTACTTACATCTCTCCTCAGACATTTTGTTGTTTCAAAGGGTGATTTAGGACTGTGACTAGATTCACTGCTCATCATAATCACAAAAAACTACCCTAAAAAAAAAAGTTGCAAATATTTCCGAGCTGCAGATACAATGCAATGTCCTTATAGTCTTTTCTAACCACCTTCATCAAGGAGGAATGGGTTTCATTAGAGACACCTGAACCTGATACCATTGTACTTCCAGTGATGAATTTGAAGTCCAGCACATTTAAGAGGATGCTAGTTGGGGAAGAATAATTTACATTATGCTGCTCCACTTCTGCAGTTTATGAGTTTCCCAGTCAGTGTGACAGCAAGATTACCTTTGCATATGTTATGCATGTGAACAGCCACAGCTGTCCCAAAGATGCACTGACTGGGAATACCTTAGATATTAAATTCTTTGTGAACAAGTAACTTGAGGTTTAGTCTTTCCTTCTAAGCACCTGAATAGCCAAAATTTGCCTTCTCCAACCTGGGATCATTCACATGAGTTGGCTTTGGAACTTGAAGTTCAACACATCCAGAGTTTACCAGTTTGGAAAAGATGGGTACCAGAGGTATCAGAATCCCAACGTATTTTAGGCAATACTGTTTTCCAGAAAAGTCTATCAGTTTTTTAAAGTTTTAGGAACACCTTCTTCTTCCAGTAAAGTGTTATGACTGAAGTCTCAACATGTAACATCCTGAGTAATCTTAGATATTAAACTAATAATAAAAAGACATGGTCAAAAACAAGATGAAATATAGCACACTGACTCTAGATTATGGAAGTGGCAATCTAAACCATACTCAGTGGAAACAAGTTCCATTAATTTGACAAATTTGGGTATATTTCCAAGAAAATGTGATGGGGGTAGAGGTATGGAGAAGTGTGTAATTCACATATTTAACCAGATTAAATAACTGCAGTGCTTGGTTTGCCGTAACTTCACCAACACCATTTCTTTAACAGCTAACAGATAAAGGTGGCCTTAAAGCATAAAAATACTGCAACCCTGTAACCTTTGTGATACTGATTTCTGATATAGCATATGAAGAGGCTTTCCATCAAGCCTGCAAAGAAATATGTCATGACTGATCAAGTTTTACAATAGCAACTATATCCTATTTGGGAAACCCACTTAAATCAGAAGCTGAATAGGGTTTTTAGGTGTATTAAAAAAAGAAAAAGAGGCTAGTATAATACTGAACTAGCTGAGAAGGCCCATTCACTTATCCAGAAGCTGGTTCTGTAATCAACCAATTTTCAAAGGAATGATGGAGGAGTAAACTGCCCAAATCAGCACAAGGAGATACTTAAGGCAGATGGTGTCACTTAAAAAGGAACATAATGTAGGCTCAGAGGATTACTAAGTTTGCAGCTGGAAGGTCCCTCTTACAATACTCATTAGACTCCTTACAAATGTCATGGCAGCCCATGTTGGGCCCTTATAATTTCTGTTAAGAGACTGAATTATTTTCTACTTAAAATCATGTTGAATTTAATCTAAACTAGACAATTTAGTCTTAAGTCATTGATGGAGAAATAACAATTTGACCAAATCTATCCCTGAATTAAAAATAATATTGGCAACCCAAACCTGCATCTCCTACTTTTTTCAAGAGATTAAAGGATTTAAATGAAGACATTTTGTTGCACCTACACATTGAATTTGCTGGATACAATCAGCAACCAATAGTCATTGTTTTTCCTCTGTTTCTTATAATACATAGGCTGTTGCTGCCCCATAACCCGCAATGCCCTATGCTTGACGTAGCCCCTTTATCTTGTAAATATATTTTTGGAATGCCCCTAGATAAAATGAACTCAACGGAGGAAGTTTCTGGTGGAGGGGGAAGGGTGGGGGTTGTATATTCCTTTCACCTTTGGATATCAGAGAAGTCAGACAGTTCATCTCTCTGTTCAATGGTCTCATGAGTTGCTTTGGAATTATGACCCCCAGATTTAGTGCGAGTATGAGCATTCATAGGCAGCCTGCTACCTCTTTCCCCTCTAGGACTTTGAGAGTTCTCTCTGGTACCAGACTGAGGGTGAATTACAAGGTTTCCTTGGCCAGTGGATGTTCTTGAGACCTCATTTGGCTTTTTCTCAGGTTCCAAGGTAGAATCTCCATGTGGAACTACAGTACAGAGGCTCAGGATGGAGCACAGACTTCCCCAGTTCTGCTCACATTGGGCCTGGACACTCTGTGTGATGGCCTCTTTGACTTCTTCTCCACAAGTGAGCAGGATGTTTACCAGATCAACATATGGTCTGCGAAAAAATTAAAAAATACAAGGTTATGGATGAGTGGCAGATACCCCCATTAAGAGGTGGATGCTATTGACACAAACTGAGTGCAAGCCAATAGCCATATGTTTATTATTTTATCCATTAGACTGATATCTCATCTTTTAATTAGGAGTTCAATATTTCATGCACACACACACACACACGGAGGAATATAAAAACTATTCTTGCTTAAGACAAATAGATAATTACTAGACTTCCATGTCTTGAAATTCTGAGTGCTTCCAGGAAGACTTTTACAGTTATTCTGTTGGGATTTTACAGGAGATCCAGCCGCTGTCGTACTTCTCTTGTAACCCCCTCTTGTTTCCCCAGTAGTTAATTCCATCTTTGAGTGTGTGTGTGCACATGCACGTGCGCACCAAAACATCTCATTGAGTAGGAAAGAAAGAAAGAAAAACAAAAGAGTCATAGATGGTCTTTAAATTGACAGCATTAGGAACTGTCCCTCAGTAGCTAATCTCCATTGCTCAAGTCCTAAAACAAAACATCAATGTTTGCTTTGGAGCTCATTTAACAAGAACATAGTTTGAAGAATCGGGGTTTTTTTTCCCCCTTAAGTGGAAATTCTGATTCCCCCCCCCCCCCCCCCCCCCCC